GGGGGGGGTGGGGTGGGGCGGTAATGACGTATGTGTATGTGACATGCTTGCACACGTGGCGCAACAACAACAATCGATAACTTGAACTATGAGATCATGTTCCACCTACAGTAAGTTGATGATGATGATTGCCTCAAGTTCCACAACGCTGCGTGCACGCAACGAAGCTAGTGGACTGGGTGGTCACAGGCAAGCTGTTTGCGCCATTGGCGCACTATGCGCAAGTAAGCTATCGTACTGACGCAAAGTAGTTTGTCCGAACCAAAAATAACTGGACTTCATACTTGCGATATATCCACAAACCCTAGCCCCAATGGAATTTCAATAAAAATACGTTCTGCAACTCATTCAAATGGCCACAAAACACCACGGCCATCTACGCACGGCGGACCATGTAGTTATACATGGCATACATGGAGTGTCTGGGTATGGAGGTCGTTCGCTACATGGTGGACCAGTGACCAGTGCTCCAGGTGGGTCATGACCCATGCCCCGCAATTTCCGCGAGAGTCTACCACGCCATTGAGCCGGCCAAGGGCACGGGGTTTTGTTTGTTTCGTTCCCGGAAGGATGCGCAACCACCAACGGCGTTGCATGGCACAAAAGGGCGTTTTGCTTCGTCGACTTCTCTATCCTTTCCAACACCGACCGACGGAGACCAACCCGCGACCGAGTGCCAAAGTAAAGCCCAGCTTTAGTAACAGGTTGGGGCAGGCTGAACTGCTGGTCTGGGCAAAGGCTCGTGAGATGCAATATGCTGCACGCTGTCTGTGAAAACGTGCGAGGACCTAGTGACCGGCTAAAGCTATAGTCTTATGTACAAGGATGTAAAATACTATAAGGTAAGCAAGGATGCTAATGCCGCATGGCCCTCTAAAGCAAAACAAAAGGTCTAGGTGATCCCAAATCTCTATTACCCTCAACATGTTGTGCGGCACCCTCTGGTTTACAGCTGGACGAATATGGACGAATGCACTCAAACCCATTGACTGACCCCTATAGCTGCCAAACAATTGCCGTATCAGATCCCCACCGTGAGGGGTGACTGGAAGAAGGAAGAACATATGTACTCACAGACATCCACAAACTGTCCTAGCACATGGCCTAGGACCTAGCACAGTGGATGGCGGCCATTGCTAGTATTAAAGATATTATATATATATAGAGAGAGAGAGGCATACTTTGTGTATGTTTATGCATAAAACAAATAGATACGTAATGACACGTACGTACACACGCACATATGTGTATATACATGTACTAAGGGTGAATATAATATGAATCCAATAAAAATTATATATATATATGCATACATATCTGTGTGTGTTATTGTGTGTTTATGTTTGTGTGTTTGTGTATGTGTGCTGGCACTTCACTGGGCATTGTACAACGAGTGCCCGCTTGCATTCTGAACCGCTCTGGATAGATGAGCATCATCATGTCTTGAGAAGGGAGGTAGCGAGGAGGTAGCAAGGACACCGCTGACATCAAAATCTAGAGACCTTCACCTGACAGTTGATAAAGAAAAAGGTTATATAAATGTGTTTATCTGTTCATCGTGGCACACGAAGTTCCTCGTGGGACACGAACGCCCCAAAGAAGATCTTGCAGATTAGCATCTGAATCTGCTAGCTTGAAATCCTGAACTCTGACTTTTCTTGGGACCCCCGGACCCCCCTCCCAGTTGGCGACAAAAACCTCTTCCAAACCGTGCCAGTCAACTAGATACCGGCCGTCCTGCCAAAGATCGAATGGCTGCTCCGTCCGGTTTCTCGGGCGCTGGGAAAGGCCATAAGAGGACGCCCAGGAAAGGCAAGCCAGGACCAGTGAGCAAGCCAGCACAAAGTGTCCATGCCCTCCTTTGAAATGTGTTTATATAGATTTGTTTTGGGCTTTCTTTGGGGTAGCTAGTGCTCAAACTGAGGTCAGGAAAAACAAAATGTTAAAGCTTGAGCGCATTCTCAGGGTACGAATGAGCATCGCCGAAGAACACGAAAGCTTCCACCAAAGTAATCGGCAGCACCAAAAACATGGCCATCCAAACACGGCCCTTCACTGTGGAGCCACTTCCCTGGCCCAGCAAGGCGCTGGGGACCCAGAAGGATGGAAAAATCACGCTGATGCCCAGCAGTTGGCCCAACAGCAGGGTCCTGACCGAGCGGAGACATAGTTGGGTGGTCGGTTTTGTCGGCAAGGAAAACCTGTGGATGCGACATGGAGCGATTGCTGGAAGGCCCGATCTGAACACAGGGATTCCTCACAGGTTTCGTGAGGGACGACGGAATGACCCGACAGCACTCAAAATGAACCTCTTAAAATTGCCAAGCATTCCCTCAGACTATACGCATAGTCTAAGTAGTCACTACAAAGTCGTTGGACCTTGGTGAGTAGACAGCCGCGGTGTTTTTTTGGTGCTATTTTTTGCAGTACTGTTTTTGAGATTTCCTTGAGGGGGAAGTGGGGAGGGGAGGTAGGATGGGGTCAATGACACTCGTTGAACTTTCTAGGTAGGGAACTGACTTGCTATGGGAGAACATGGGGCGGGGCTAATGACAAACATTGCGCATGCTACGCAACTGCTCTTGTACGGAAATGAATTGCTTTGTGAGAACCGGGGTGGGGTGGGGTGGGGTGGGGCTAATGACAATCGTTGCACATGCTACGCAACTGTTGAAGTAAAAACAGTGCATTCTGCTGTGGCGAAGAAGTCACTTCGACGCTTTCCACATCTGCCCCCAGTCAGGCTCAAGGTCCATTAAATACTAGGAACACACACACCACTCTGTCAAAAAAACTAAGAAGTTTGGAAGCTGCAAAAACAAACACAACGTCCGTCTCGTAACAACGCGAACCGCTCATGTTCAGCTCAAAAACCAGTCTCAACAGTCTCAAATTCACGTCTGAACGAAAACGAAACCCAATCAGTCAACCCAGGAAACGTTCTCAAGAACCAAATCAGAAACCTCACGGCGTCTATGAGCCGTGGACCTGGCGTAGTTGTACAGTTGGACGTAGCCGTTCCCATGAAAATCCTGGTTACATGGTTTCTACCTCCCTCTGAGTCTCTGGAGTGCTGACCAGGGCCCCCTGGTTTGGGGTGTCCAATTATAGCTCCTTAGAGGTATCCGGGTATCCATTAACTTAACCACCCCTTAGGGGAGCCCTGGTCTACATGTAATATGCATTACTGTATATCAGTTAAAGTTATATACAATATCGGTTGCACCATCTAGCCGAGTCTCATGATGGGCCATTTCACCGGCCCCTTCGCGCCGCCGCGGCCGGCTTCAGCATAGATCAGCAGTGTTAAGGGGAACACCAGCGTGGAAATGAGACCCCAAACCAGAAGACCAGCTGGCTCAGCGGCCAGCACGTAGACGAAATTTGTGAGGATGCAAATGAAGGGGCCACCCAGCATGGGCTCATAGTCATGGAGGCCCGCCTGCTCAAGTGCAGTAGCATTTCCTCCAAGACTGGCTGGGAAACAGAAAAGGTGGTCTACCGGAAAATGGCCAGCGTCTCACATGGAGGATTTACAAAGCATATACGAGCAATATACGTAAGGTACAATCATTTACGTAACATTCAGATGTGCATAGATGCACGTAATAAATCACACCTCCCGTAGAGACGTGTGGCACTAGCCAAGTAAAATAACACAATTCAGCTAACACATCTATTTGCCATATGTCTGTCCAAAACAAAAACTATCCAGTCAGTGATATTCAGTGTTTTGGCTCAAACATTGGCAACACCGGCTCCTGCGATGCAGAACTTTTGAAACTTTTGGATCGCAGGATCCTTCAGGGTTGTTGTTCTGCCAGAGTCAACCGCTTGGGTTGAGAACCTTTGATTTTGCATTACAGTTACCTTCCAAGTAAAGCTGGGCCGCTCCGTTGTTGCTTTGCATGCCCATCACCCAATTAGAAAATAACGTCTGTCGTGGCAACCAATCTATCTGACATTATCTGACGATGTTTGGAACATCATGGAAAGGCACACAACAAGTCCTTTGCCATGACCTTTTGAGTCTCCACAAAGGCGAAGACTCCTAGAGCCACCCCGCACACCACTCCGAGCATTCGTGCCATGGCCATACTCTCGCCCCCAATCCTCGTGGGCGAGCGTGCGTGTCAGTGCGTCCTAAAGCCAAATGACAAGGGCGCATCAACTTGTCCAACGCTCTACCAAGCGATCAACTGCCAACGGTGTCTCTGATTTCAAGTCGGCAGACTCTGACCAGAAGAAACAGTAGTGTAAATGTGTGCCAAATATCAGAACAATCTCAGACTGCCAGTCATCACTCATGAGCCAACCCTTTCCATTGTCCCAGATTAGCCTCCGTTTATCAGCTGTCTAGGCAGCGGCGCGACATCAACGGGTGAACAAAACCAGGATGCCGCCCAAAGACTTGAATTGAAGCATTGCTTTAGCATATAGTATAACTTAATTTCATTATAATTTCACACACACACACACATATATATATATATATATTATATATATACATTCACCTAACCAAAACAAAATACACCCCAAAAAGCATAGGGATGCATAGGGGCAAAGTGTGAACATCCCAGAAAGCTCTCCAAAGCGTGGTTTGATGTCTTCTCACTTCTCACTCATCCTCTCATCCTGCCAATGCTCAGCCCAGGCGACAAAATTCTGCTTGGCGAGGTCCTGTTTCAGAGGCAGTCCTCATCATTTCTCTTTGTAGTGTCTTGCTGTTTTGGACTCAATCGGAACCAACAATGTTCCGCTTTTTGCTGATTTGAATTCATGTCTGAACATCTGATTGATTTAGTTAAATTAATATAAATATATGAGTATATTATTGAATCAATTGAAATTATACAATGACACATCTAATGACACATTAAAAAGGAATGCTAAGGATTGCTGGTGAATCTCAGATTTGCAATGTCACCGCCATTTCACCATCCGCAAGGCATTGGCATCGTACCCTGGGTGGGAGCTGGAGATAACACCAGTTGAACTGCTTTCACCTCTGAATCTCTGCCTATGGAAGAGAAGACCTCCTGAACCTTCCAGGCGTGGTTAGAGTGAGTGAAACTCACGAAACCCCACGCAAAACGATCAGCTCTGCTGGACTATAACCACATTGGCTACCTCTTGCAACCTCACGTTGGTCCATTCTTCCGGAATGGGATCAACGACCAGTGTGGTCGCTGCATCCCACGATCACGACTGGATCCCAACATCCTGGGCATCCTGAGTATCATCCAGGTCCTTCTGGACTTTCTTTTTCTGACGTGACGTATCTCACTACAGTCACTACAGAACAGCTGGAAGCACCACACCCAGCTTGCTCTGCAACAGTGCGGGTCACCACTGGTTTCGGTCAGGTTCCTGGGGAAACCCTTGTGTCTCTTCAAACTCTCAAGAAGCTCCAATGTTGCTCAAGAAGAGCCATCTGCTGGTTGCGGTGCATCATCTGCAGCTTCTTAGCTCTCTTTTTTTTGCATCTTCACGTGCCGGGAACGGCGCTGGCGATTCCCAACTGGGCCCTTGCGATGCGTCTTCGCTCTCCGCCACCCATACGCCTGGTGCCTAGAACGTCGCACGCAGCACCTTTGCCAAAAAGGTCTGACTGCGTCTGGATTGGGCACAAGGCTCATGGACTCACCAACCACGGAGCTTTTCGCTGTGCCGTGCTCACCGCTCACCGGTCCAGGGGTGGTTCATGGCCGGGCGTCAGCGTCACTGGGTCCCAGGCGGCACTTCCATCCCACCAGTCTTGGTATGTCGACCTGGATGCCGAGAGCCACCGGTCTGACCGAGGCAGGACGTGGCTCTCGCGATGTAAGAAGATGTAAAGTATAAGTTCTCCATAGGTTCCAGGGTCTTCCAGGGTCTTTCAGGGTCTTCCAGGGTCTAGGCTGTCCATAGTTCTGAAGCTTAAACAGTTTCATCTTCTAGGGCGTCATAGTTCTGTCACAGAGTTCCCTACTTTCACACTTCACTGGCTAGTTGAGTGGGGCAGCTCCAATTCCCATGAAAGCTGGCTCCCGAGTGCTATGATGCTGACGCACGGAGAAGGCAATGAAGCTTTGAAGTTGCTCATTCCCGTCTTGTGGCAGGTTTTTAGACTTTTCAAGGGTCAAAGCCGGTTGGAGTCTAGTCTATAGTAAACATATAGTCAAAAAATGTTAGATGAATGGTCATTCACCTTTGATGGGAGCTTCCTATACAAACCAAATGATCGGGGCCTTGAGATGTGATGAGACTTGGATAGGCATCAGCCTATCTACATCGATCCTTCCCATTCTATATATTATGCAGACTTTGGAGTCAGCTTGAAGGCCATCTACCCTCCCCCCCGCCGTGCCCCGTCCAACGTCCGTCGACGCTCGACGCTCGGTCTCTTCGGTCGACGGAATCGGTCTCTTCGGCCGACCGACGAGAGTCTCGGGTAACCACAGAGTTCATGGGTGCTGTGAGTGGGTGACGAGAGTATGGAGGGGTCTGTCATTCCAAAGTGATCCATTGCCAAGCTATGTCAAGTATTTGGCCTTTCTGAGGTGGAGCCATCTATTTTTATAAGCTCCCCTGAACTCCTCAGGCTAATTGAAAGTCCTCGCCACACCGGAATGTCCGCAGCTCGGTGCTAAGGTGGCGACGGCCTAAGCAAGTCCAGTCCAGCGTGTGGGCGAGTCCAGTCCCATGTGGTTGGGAAAGCTCCCTGTAATGTTCTTTGTTGATTCATGTTGATTCATGAAATCCCAGGATTGGATTTGAAAACCCTTTTCTGGTACGGGGGGTGTTATTCATCAACAGTCTACTTTAGTTCCTTGGAAAGGGGAGCTGGGCTCGGATCGCTACACCGAGGCCGCTTTTGTTTTTTCTCCTCCGAGGGCCACCAGCTAAACAAACTCACATGTGGTGGACAACCACGGTCATCGGTAAATACAGGAAATGGACAAAAGGTCTTTTCCCGGAGCCATGCCCATCCACTTCCATGTTACAGTAGTGACTGTGAACAAGTAGCAAGTGGACTGGTAGGTTTGGTCAACCATGACTGTCACGTCCTTGGAACACTAAGGAATCGAACGTTTCTTGGGTGTATATATATATATATATACGCACTATTGCAATTGCATCAAAAAAGTAAAAAGCACCAACATTGAGAGGGAAATGGCATGTTCCTTCAGAATGCACCATCTTCATTCATGATTTTATCTATTTCGAGGACTGATGTGTCTACTTGTGCTCCTTGACACCCTCTCTCGTCCGTTCTCCTTGTGCTCCCTGTGTTCAAACCGTGGTGGATCCCAGGGTGTCCCTGGTGTCCCTGGCCGCCCGGTAGAAGTGGCGTCTTGCAGCCTCTAGGAACAGATGATGCACCGAAACAACGCATGGAAGCGCCTCTTGTTTTGGAGCGGGCTTCCAAGATCTTTGCCCTGTACTAGTGTGTTAAAGCTCTGCTTGAAAAAGGCAAAGACGAAACAATGCTCCAAACGGTTGACCCTGAGCTTGCATGTGTAGTGTATCGGCGTCGGAGAGCGTTGATTGTATGCTCACCGGAGTTGCGGGACATGCCACCTGCGGTCCCCAGGCTGCGCAAGCGGCTGCGACGTCATCGGCAAAAAGTTGACATTCGTGACATTTGGGGGCTGCGATATGACCAACCCCAAACAAAGGTGCCTGGGAAACATGCCCAAAGAAAAATGTGCGGCTTTCAGAATGGCTATGGGCTATGGGTGAATCATCGGCCCCAGCCTATGAGGCTCTTTGTTCTGCAACCCAGATCATCCCAAATCATTTCAGCTGGCGCATGCTGAGGCTCCAGGCAATCCTTGCCCAGTCTTTGAGCAAAGGGTGGCGTTCTCCGGCTCCAATGTGCATCCGAAAGAAGCTTCGAACCTCACGTCCCACACGCGTCCCGTGGGACCTGGGGACCTCTGCGAGTTCGCGGCACCCAGCGACCGTGGGGCCAGCTGTGGATTTGAGCCCCAACCTGCTCCAGTCGGAGGGATCGAAAGACCCGACATAACTCCCAACCCTTTATCCCCTTTGGAACTCCGGATTTGGTGTGTGTGCTCTGCGGTTATAACGGCCCGATCCGGCGCCCCAACGGTTTGGCCATTGTCGGGGTGACGGAAAACGCCATCGAATGTGTTCAGCGGAACGCTTCAGAGTGGTGAGTTGTCCAACCACAAACCACAAATTGACTTCAACAACAAAGCTCGGGGCCGGTGTAGCTGTCTGCCACTGTCTGCCCCGAGATTATAGGCGATCACCCTACCAAAGGATGCAGCCATGCCAATCGGCCATGTCATGTGTAGGTGTGAACTGAACAGGTGCGAAGAGGGGGCCACTTGCTGCTCTTGAATGCGCAGAAGACACGGTCTTCCCATCCTTCAGCCTACCAAGCCTTGCCGCACCTCTTTCCTGGCCACGGATGTGGAGGGAGCTGTTCTTTTCTGAGGGGTTCTCCTCATTTGTTGACGGCTCTCTCCGGACTTCTACGGCCTATTGCGGAGTCTCACCTCTTTGTGTGAGACACGCGGCTCGTGGCAAACGATCGGGCCGGGCCTTGCAACACCGGCCTCACTGCGGCTGGTCCATCTTCAACCAAAAAGCCTTGATATGTTGCGGCGGTTCCTTGTGATGTAGTACCTGCAAGTATCTTACTTTCATGTCTCAGCTGCAGTGGATGACAGCATTGAGCGGCCTTCCAGTTTCCGGACAACCTTTGCTCTTCATCATTGCTTGAACCTGACCATGACCCATCATCAGCCATTCCTACTGCTGCCCTCCCAACCGACCAGTCATATGGAAACGGACCAAGGCTGCCAACCACCTCCAGTCGTCGAAGAACCTCCCGTTCCAAAGCTGCTCTTAGCGGTTTCGATGCTGGAGAAACAGCAGAGCAAATAGCGCTATATACATGCAGTTGTGTCTTGCCAGCCGCACACAGACTACCTAGACCATTAGCACACAGCATCTGAACAGGAAAACAGGAACCCAATTAGAGTAGAGGTTGCACAGTCCTCATGGTCTCTTCCTACATCCATGGAGAGTCCATCTACGGGGGGAGGTGACAAGATGTCTTTTCGAAACATATTTTTTGGATGTCCGCATTCGTCGTCTGCTTGTTCAACAACCCATTGGGGTTGTCCATTCGCTCCACTTGTGGGGGGCAAATAGGCTTTAGAAGCCTTAGGGGCATGAAGAGCTCCTGTCTTGGACCCCACCTGCACCGGCCAGAAATCGTAAGGCCTTGCCATCATCAGCTGGCCTTTTGATCTGTTCCATTGTATACTCCTCAAATCCACATAAAGCAAAACCATATCAATCAACCCTTTGGACCTTTGGAGTTGTTGACACGACATGGGATTTCGTAGCTGGCACGACATGGGGGGTGTCCAAGGACGACTCAGGACTCCGGGCAAAGCGTGAGCACTGCCGAAGGTGTGAGGTGGAGTTGTCTCAGGGTCTTAGAGCGGTCTTTGAGCACGGCCTTGGGGTAGCTGGTCGCCAACGTAAACTTCCTCAGCCGGATCCATGATCTGAGTGTCCGGAAGTCAGTAAGGAGTATCCGAAAAGCATGTTGAAAGGACTGCAAACTTCAGGGATGGGTGAGTCCTGACCCGTACTTGATCGAGAATCCTGTCCTCCAAGACAAGTTGGACACATGATAATACATGTTTCATCAGGAACCTTTTCTTCGGCCAGTGCAAGGATGCCCGCAGCCTCCCCAATCCAAAAGATGTCAAACATGCATTTCTGACAAAACCCACCGAATTGATAAACAGAAACCTTGTCGAAAACTAACACATTGTCATATGCTTGCAACTTGCAACCTTACAGAATTACGATCTAGGTTGTACACCTTTTTACTTCAAGCTGATGCTTGATGGGTTCCCGCAACAAAGCACCTGAGACATGCTATCAAAACTTGTCAACAATAGGGCCATGTATTGATCCTGTCTTGCGAACAGCCGACCGTCTGTTGCTTCGCGAAGGTTCCTGAAAAAGAAAGCACGACTAGCTCCTCCATCCATACCGTTGATTAGTAAAACTCACCATATGAAGAGGGTTTGCCGTCCAAATGGAAGGGGGGTTCATCATTGAGATGTCTACATTACTTTCTATATAAAACGCTACTACAGTCTGCTCTTTTTGGGGGGGTAGTGGATCCCAACATCTTAGCTACATGTCGCACAGGTCTTGGGTTTAGAATCCAACATGGAGGCTACATGTTTGGGCATGCTGTTTTGGGAGGCCTGAAGCACATCAAGTGTACCAAGTGTGTTTCAGAATTCTGGATGCTCAGTTGGCCTTGTAAAGGCCAACGGTTTAGAGGCCCGGGCTATGGTAGCTTGTATGGTTGATCGGGGTACCCACTTGCCAGGCAAATGCAATTTTTGTTTTGTATAATATAGAATACCTTCCAGAAAAAATATATAGTACCAGTACTAGTGCTGTACAATAAGAACTGCAAGCCATGAGATAATTGGTGTGCTTGAGCTCGCTCATCATACCACATACTACCGCATCATATCAAATTAAACATGTAAGCTAGAGGTTTAGGGCTAGAAACACCCAGTTACAAGTACCCGTTTGCTCGTTCGAGGTTGCACTCAGGGATGCAGCAGCCTCTATGAGTCCAGAACGGGTGCTAGGCAAACACGCTATATAGTTGATGTCCACCACTTGCTCCACTGGGTCTGCTTGAGGCATCAGGTGAATCCACTGATTTGCCCCGGGCAAGTAGAAGTGGGGTATAGTGGGGTATCAGGCTTGGCCTGCTGAACCTAGGTCTTATCTGAAGGTCTTTCTTCGCCTTGCCATCCTTGCCTGCAGTCAGCAGGGCAGTGAAGCAAATCGAGTGGAGAGTAGTTGAGTGACAACTGGAGAAAAGCCGGCAAATGCAAGTGGGGCAGGTGGGCAGGGCATTCTCACAAAATGTCTGTCACATGGACAGCGTCACATGTCCAAAAAAACCTGGAAAGGTCCCACATCTGAAAGCCAAAGGGTGCAAAGGGTTCTTGGCCGCTCCAAAACCATATTTTTAAAAAAAACGCAGCCCGTGACCAAACACACCCACCACACCCACCACACCAAGCAGTCGCCCGTCGTCCCAGGCGCTCCGGCACGTCGAAGCGGTCGCCCGTCTTCTCCAGCGCGGCGAGTTCCCCCGCGCAGTCGGCCCAGCGGTAGAGCTCTGAGAGGGTCTGCGTGGCAGCGAAGCTCCGTTCCTGGAGTTGAGGGCGGTGTTCAGATTGGCTTTAGAGAGTTAATGATTCAATGACCTGGACCGCGGGGTGTGCAACTTGGCAAGCGCCTTAACTGCCCATATAGTGTAATATATGTAATCTTCTAACATCTTCTAATAGATCTAATAGTACTTAGTAAGGTGAAGAGGCATCAACCCTGGTCGATGTCACTTTGTTGTCAGGGTAGGACTGCAACATTGACCAGGCCATCGATTAGATGGGATTGCCTCCCTCAACGAAATCAAAGCCGAGCCAAGAACCCCGCCATGTTCTGCGTTGCTCACCCTCCCTCCAACCAAGATGGAAATGGTGATTGGAGCATTGGAGGGAGGGTACACGGTTTGAGGGACGGTAGGGGATACCTTGCTCTGGACATGCTACTGTAGGTCAATTCCATCTCCGTCAAAGTCATCTTCGTCACCCAGTGGCTGCTCGGCGTCCGCACGGAAAGCGCAGCACCAAATGACAGGCATCCTGGAGGATCTGTGCTGGGCCAATTTTTCCCACAATACATGATGTAGAGAACACCTCTTTGTTATGTCTTTTCTCGTTAAGTTCTCCTTGAGATGCGCTATGTCTACAACAAAAAACGCCAGTTCAAACCCCAGCTCCGGCAAGCTCCATGATGAGCCATGCACGACCTAGGAATTTGAGCTGTACATAGCTATACAGCATAAGTCTCAGTATAAGATTCATTGTTTTTTCTCGAGACTTTGACTTCGTGCAGCTTGCAGAGGCACCCTTAGTGATCGATCAGCACGGTCTAAAAAGAAGTTGGCACAGCTCCCCGGAGGAATCACCGCCATGAGAGCAGTCATGTGACTGGCACTGGAAAGAAAGAACCAGCACGTGACTCAGACCTGAAACCTAGAAGGTCACTTACTGACTGACAACTTGGTGCATGGTAGGGAATGAGGGAACTCCAACGAAACCTGCCCTTTTGGGCACACTCTCTCTCTCTCTCTCACTGGGGGCCGATAGGTCTATCGGCCATGCCTTCTGCACGGTGCGTGGCAGGCGCATCAGCTGCTGTGCATGCTCTTGCCGCGTGGCGCGAAGCCGCGCCAAGGCAGGATCAAGCTTCGCCTGGCTTCGTCCAGCGAACATCAAAAAGGGATTGGAGCCCACATCTTGGGGTGTTTGGGTCCCAAAAGTTGTCCAACAGCGGGTATCCAGATGCATGTGTCCTTACAAATTCAATTTGAAGCTGTCGCCGTTGTCAAGGGCTGGATGACACATTTCTTCCTCATGTTTCATCTGCTAGTCTGGAAGCTGATGATAGTTGGGACCGTCATTTTGGAGGGTCACAAAATATCAGTTTATATATCACATAATGAATATGAAGTCATGTGGAGCTCCAAACCTTGCAATGGCATCCCATCTACTCCACCTTTCCAAACAATTGAAGAAGCTCTTGGAGTTGCGGGACAGACTCACCGTAGATCTTTGTCCCCAAGGCACTAGGCACCCGATGCGCACCTATTTTCCACCTCAACGGGGATGATTCAGGATGGACCTGTCTAATCATGATGAAAGGTGACCGGGAACAGAGATTTTCACTGTTTGTGGCGGACCAGACATAATCTGTCCATAATCATCTAAGAATGTATACTATATATATCGATCTAATATTTCCACTTGGGGAAAGGCTTCCATCAGGCCACCTCCCATGAGGCATAGGAATCGACATCCGTCCACCAACCACGGTCCACAACACCTGATTTCGTTCGCCACGTTCCTGATCTCGCCGCAAAGATTCCTCGTAGTCTCTGTCCTGCACTTGGGATATCCGGACTGGCCACATTGTGACATATTCCGAAGGGTAGGACCCAAACTGTTCCTCGGCTGTTCCTACCGGGATTTCCAACTCCTGTTACCCAGCGGTGTAGGATGTGTTGGGGCTCAGAAACTGAGGTGAAGAATTCAACCACTGGGCATGGTCTTGAACCGAGCCCATTTTAGATCAACTCATGCTCATACCTGATGCTTCGAAGGTGATGCCTCTGGCCAAGGTTCTTTGCATGTTGAGTTTCAACCTAGCTTCTTGCTGGACACGCTGCCACTCTTCATCCTCACCCTTGCTCCTCCCAACTGGTCAAATTCACACTATGACATACTATGACCCTCTTTCCCCAATCATCTCACCTCAACCTTTTCACAATGACTTCACAAAACCCTACGCCCGCTGTTGCATAGCCACTCACCGAACTTCACCGCCCCTCCCCACTAGTCCTGCTCCTCTCGCAACCGCCTCGCCTCTGCCGACCGTCTCCGCTGCTCCTCCCGCGCCGCCTCGCGCCGCGCGCGCCGCGCGGTCGCGGCGTCGCCGTGCTGGGCCAAGAAGCTCATGAGAGCGCCCTGGCCGCGGCTGGGCTGGGATCTTCACCGGAGGTCCCCAGAAGTGGAGACAAGGTTCGTGCACCCGGTGGTTCCAAGGAGACATGCATGCACAAGAAAAAAAATCGTGCATGGGGGCCGCCAACAAGTTGGATTTCAGCCCTTCATACAGTGACGCTGGATGGAATTGTTGGCCACTAGAATGCTGTTGCTTCTGGTGTGGAATGTGTTTGCCGTGCAAATGGGCAACCAGTCAACCAAATCACCAGTCAAGCAAAACATAAAAAGTGATGTGACACTGCGACACCCAGTCAGTCACCTAGTCAGGTCACATGGCGGCTGTGCCACATGCGCGGCCGCATGTATCTTCACTTTTCCAAAGGTTTCTTGCTGAATGGTCCCATGCCCATGTCCTCCCATCTCGCGATAGAACGTCCACGAGCGCGCCCAAGATTCAGACCTCTGTCAACTCAGCTCCTTCGAGCGCGCCCAAGAAAGACCAAGCGCAGTTGATGGGGAACTCATTGGCCGACTCACGTGCATCAGACCATGGAAACACCTGGCACAAGCTGCGTCCAGCGTGCGCTGTTTGTGCGGGTGGAAGCGCACATTCCAAGAAATCCAATTTAAAAGGCGTGGCCAGGCCAACATGACCCAGCTGTGTCTTGTTTTCTTGTGCGTGCGGCATGTGTACCGCGACATTCTCCGGGACTCTGGGCCAGTCACAATTGCACGCCGTCGTATGCGTTTCCTTTCATGCTGCAACAACCCCAGAATGTCTTTGATCTGGACATTCACGTGGCAGTTTCATGCAGCAACATGTAATCACACATCACCCCAGATCCCACCTCAACTTCAAACACACTGAGTGGCTCCAGGACAGCAAAGCAGGGTGTCCGTAGGCGCAACATCTCCTCACCAAGGGTGGCGGCGAAAAAGCGCATGCACAGAATCACTTGCCAAAGACCTGGGAGGCCATTGCTAGTAGGTTGGAGGCCATCTCTTCTAGGTTAAAAGGAGCCCCTGGGGCATGGCATCCCGTGGCGCCAACGGGCTCTAAACAGCCGACTCTGACATTCACAGCTTCCGCGGGGCCTGGGACCGGCGTGCCATGGTGGCGGGGATGGTGCAGGTCGAGACGCTTTGAAGTGGTTTCAGAGTAAATGGCGCAAGTTAAGTTACCCCGCCTTTTGGTGGTTTATACGGACCCCATCGGTCTAAGACATGTTGGGGTTTGTGCCATCTACTCTGAAACCACTGCAACTGTTGATCCTATCTGGGTGCTCCTTCAGCTGCACTGGCAGCAGCCAGCGGTCTGCATCGCCAGGCCACAGTACGAAGTACTCCTCGTGGAGGCAGTCACACTCACCAAGCAGGGACACAAATCTCCAAAGGAGAACAATGAATGATTTAATACAGTATTTGTCCTGACCTGATCCAGTTGTGTTCGAATTCATCACCTTCAAGCAAAAAGGACAAGGACAAAAGTGACTAGAGGCAAAGTTGAGTTTCAAGGGTTGAGGCATCAAGTTTGGAGCGGTGTACATATATATATAATGTTTTATAATATATATATATATATATTATGTATTTTATATCTAAAGTAATATATTATATATATACATATGCAACAGTTGTCCTATCCATCAGGTGCACGCAACGTGCACGCCTTGGTCAGGTCAGAAAGAAAATGCCTCCAACATGCCCAAACCCCACGCGGTCGGAGGCGTAAGCCGACTCCTGTCACCAGGTGAGTTCTCGTTTTAAAACAGGCCAAACGATGGTGACGATGCCTCTGATCAATTCAACCAATTCAACCCACAAACCAGGTGATTGTATGTGATTGTGACACTTGAAGGATTCGAAGTGTGTTTAAGTAAGGTAGCCCCATCAAAACCAATCACATTGGGACCTTGGATGTTCATGGCTCTCCTTGAAGTGTCCTCCTTTCTTCGTTGGGTGTTCCCCCTTGTAGCGTTGCCTCGTTCACTCCCGGTTGCACTGGTTTGGTCCCAACGGGTGGGTGGAGGATCGTCAGCATTGAGTGTCAAGCTCGGTCTGGTTGGGCTCGGTGCTCGGTGCACGGTTGGGCTCGGTTGGGCACTTGGTTCTTCAATCACACGTTTTCCCCCAACCGAGCTCATGTTCTTTCATCTTCAATCGCCTGCGTTGGCTCCAGCGATTCTAGTGGCTCGTGTGTGGTGAAATCTGGTGCTCGTGTCCTTGCCTCGTTTGGATTTGATATCATTTGATAAAGCATTCCATCAGCGAACAACACTAATTATACTGTCCTGACCCCGTTTTTCTGCCTTTTTTTTTTGGACTAGTTTGGGGGATGTAACTGGAAGTTCCTCCCAATCCCATGTCCTTGACCAATGCATTGAAGACCTCCCCTGCCAACGCTTCTCGATCCAAGCTGGTCGTGTTACCGCACTGTTGGACCTCGCTGCTCTCGAGCCTTGGCAGCCGTCCAAGGTGGCCGGGCGGCCCGATTCTGCTGCTCTAGTCCTTTACATATATCGATGAGGTGTTGTGAAATGTAAAGGTCCTATGATATAAATCTACGGCAGGAGTGACAAAACTCACAAGACGCCGTTTGTGTTGCTTGTAGTTGTCGTCTATTGCTGTGGGACCCCCTTGTGATCCCTCTTGTCCCACCTCCTCAACCAATTCCAAACAGGTGTTGGCAGCCACGAGTGTGAATCAGAAGTCTTCCGCAGGTCTAGTATGGCTCTTCTCAATGTTTGCCACTGATCAATCTCGAACCCCCGCCCCACCCTGCACAACTATCACTCATCACCAGCCACTGACTCAACCGAGGCGCCATAACAGCAAAAGTTGCTTCTTCTCCCGCGCCTGCGCGTGCGCTTCCGCGAAGGATCCCTCGAACACCAAGCCGGGCGCGCACGGTGTCTGGTAGCCTGGCGGTGCAGCGCGGGACGGCGGGACCGAGTCATCGAGGACGTGAAAAACGTCTGAAACGTCGGTCGGGTGAAATCAAAGGACAGTGGCTGGAAGTATGTGTTGCAAGCACAGCCGAAAGGAACATAGCTAGACTTGAGGGCTTCAAGTACGTAGATTTGATTGTGGGATTGCTTGAACAATGCTAGACTTCTGGATCTTCTGGCAGAGTGTGGCTTGGTGGCTTGTCTGTTAATGGGTTTTCTCAACTTCTGTGAGAGCATTCTCAAATTCCCATGTCAGGCAATCAAGGATTCAAAACACAATTAATGACGCCCCACCAACCAAAAAGTGAATGAACAGATCCGCCCGGTCGAGCGGCGAGACTCGTAGAGGGCGCTCCAACAGGGCCGTTCCTCCGCCTCACAGTGCCGCAAGGCCTGGAAAGCCGTGCTGGGAGGCGACGCCGCATCCGTCCACCACGACCAGGCCCCCCCGAAGAGAGGTGGTGAATGGACACCCCTTAAGCCTCCATGGAGCAAGTCCTAGACACGCCAGCTTTAAGCCTTGAGGCTGACGGGCGAAGCTTTCGGAACTCCACCGAATTTCGGAACTTCACCGAACTCGGAGGGGTTGGAAAAGGAGCCAATTCTTATTCCCCAAACAGTTTACTGTTGGGGTCCAAACGAATCGTTTTGAAGCTGTTTGGGGTCTATGCTTGTATAATTTATTAAGGACATGAATGCAAGTCATGTTCTGCAAGGGGTGTGGAGTGTGGAGAACCCCTTGCAGAAGCCTGTAAGCGCTTCCCTGGCTGGTACGACCGCTAGGGATTCCTCAGGGATACGCAGCAGTGCACCTGACAGCAAAGCCTGCAAGGACTGGCCCCCACGGATAGAGGAGTGTCCGGTCGGTGTGTGTGTGTGTGCCGCCGGCATGCGGGCACCAAAGCAAAGTGTGCAATGACCAATTGGTAGAACAAGCCACTCAACCAGGTAACGCAAACTGTTTCTCCAAAGGCTCCAAAGCCTGAGAACTGCCAGAAGGTCACACTGGTGTGAGGTGCTCCATGACATGCTACCTCTGCTCCCCTGTCCTTCCGTTTTCTGCCGGGTTGGACTATTCCAGGACCAAAAGCGACCGATTCCGGAGCTGCTACAGACTCCCCACCCCAAGGCGGCACCTCCGCCCGCTGGGCCGCCTGCTGCGCCTCGTCCCAGGCCCGGGCCTTGGGAGACAGATCCCAACCCTAGGGGGCTCCTGGCCCACGGCCTCAGAAGGTGGTTAGACCCCCAGTCAGAAACAGGGAGGGCCAGCCAAAAACTGGCTGAACTCATGGCAAACCAAGGCACCATGCTCTGACCCAAGTGTTGCAAGTGGTGCATCTGCTCCTGCCATTGCCTGGGTACATTGGCGCCAAAGCGAAGTGAAACTGCCAACAGGCCCAAAAGGACCCACAGTCGTGGTGGTTCCCTTAACTTTAACCTCGATATTTAAATACCCTCCCTCAAACAATCATGGAAGCTGAGCAGGCCCCTCTTGTAGGAGAGTGGTCTTCCAGTGGGGTTCACCTTGCCCCTTGTAGTGGAAAATGGTCTTCCAAGTGCCTATGTTCCACTTCCATGATTGTTTCAAGGAGTATAAATAACACCCCAGATCGGCCCTGGAACAGTTTGGGGGCCGGTTGACGGCCAACTCGTTGGTGCAAGTCCGTGGGCCCCGAAGGCAGTAACACCTGAGAACCTGCTTGCCAGTTGCTGTGCCAATTAGCGATGGGCCATGACTATCAAGGTTCACCATGTACCACTCACATGGCTCACATGATAACACCCACACAAGGTACAATATTGATGTAAGGATTCTATACTTAGTTGGCGACCAAAGGAGGTGTGGTTCACAAACATAGGGCCTGACCTGCGGAATGCCAAGGCGGGCAAGCATGCATTGGTCTGCCTTCATAGTCTTTATATATATATATACTTACACGGCACTGTTCTACACATACCAATAATAAGCACCTAAACTCCAAACATTGACATGGCCTACAGCATAGTCTGTCTCAGCATTGGCCTATGCAGTATACAGTGGTTTGTTGTCCCAGTATTGGCCTATTGCCTATGCATAGTTTGTCTCAGTACGGCTCGTCTCATGCCTCACTTGGAGCCTCTCTCTCTCTCTCTGCATCTCTCGGCCGCCTCCTGAGCTGTAGCTCCACATCCTGGCGATCCGCCGCCTCAGCGCCGGGAGACACCGGGGTGAAACAGCGAGGCGAAGCACCGGCGCCAAGCGCTGCAAAGCCACCGACTTGAGCAGGTTCACCAATTCCAGCGGAGCCACCCGGGCTGACCTCGCATCAAACGGGAAGGAACCAGTGCGCACGCAGAAAACGCATGGATCAGCGACCAAACCTCTACTGGCATCTTAGTCTTCTTAAGCTGCCAGCATGTAGGTCTGTAGAATGATAGACATGTAAAGTCGCACTTTCAGGTCCAATGGTCTGAACACAATAGATCCATGATCTTGTTCCCAGTTGCGAGGGTCACCAGCAAAGATTGACACATAATAAGCAGTCACATGTGCAAGTGTTTGTCTGCTTGTGGAGTTTTGTGTCCATCAAAGCGATTGGATCTACACCAGGACCTTCAAAGGGGTCACTAAATGGACTACCCTACACCCTTAGGGATCTCCCGACACCCAATGGATCAGGTGATCGGCACAGATCGGCACTTCTTCGATCTGGTCCGCTCCCACCGAGACGAAGCTGTTCAAGCCGTTTCAAGCAGAATGAAGCCGCGATGAACCGGGTCAACCGGCGAACTGGAACCGTGGTCGTTGAAAAACCGCCGGAGCGCTGAAGGATCGAGCTCTGAATTGGACAGGGTTCGTTGTTCACTCACCCTTGAGCTGAGTTTGAAAAATGGGACCGGGGTCCCCATGTCGTCACCGTTGCACCAACTTGGAGTTCCACCGTCTAAATCTGACTTTCCGATCCACATCTGCAAACGGAAGCTGACCACAATTCAAAAGGTGCGGCAAACACCAAAAGGACCCCGTGCATTTCGGGTCTACTTTCCGAAAGTTCGAAAGGGGCTCTCCGGCTCCCGGCTTTAGCGAGATTCACACCGCTCGGGACATGCTGCCAGACAGTCCTCGTCCGAGGAACATGGCCGACAGCACCTGGAAGTAGGAGCCACTGGGCCACTCAAGGGCGCCTGACTTTGACGCAGCCACAGAGCCAAAACCGGTCGCCAAGGAGAGGTGCGGTCTGGTCTGGGTATGTATTTTAGAGGGAGAACCCCTGATCGCCCTCTGGGCCGGTCAATTTTCTGAACCTTCCAGTGGGTTGAACTGGGAGGTCTCCTATTTTGATACATGCCCACGTGACACGTGTCTCAAAAGAGGTCTGAGCTCTCCAATTGGACATATGGCGCATTTGCCCGTGGGGAGGGCTAAGGCTACAGGCACAAAGAGTGTGAAACATGCAAGTCGTGTGAAATGAACAATTCTTGGCCACTCCATCATTTAAAAACATCACCGGTGTCTTATGAGTGATCCGAGAAACCATGCAAGAAAAAGGTATCCGCTCAAATGTGACCACTTTCCTCATTTGTTGGAGAGCGTCCAGACCTGGACCCGCCGTCCAACGAATCCGGCAGAATCGGTGCAGCGGCCTGGAGATCCCTCCTCGCAAAGCCTGATGAGAACCAGCTGGGGAGTTGTAGCGCTCCTGGTGGGCCGAGGGAACCGAAACACCACCTCATCCACCACGTGATGGTGAAGGCGCCCGATGACACGTCGAACAGGGACCATAGTCAATGCACCCTCGGACCCATGATGGAGAAAAACAAGAACAGAACAGTGGTTGAACATGTTTGAACGCTTCACGTTGACAGCGAAACTCTTGCACACACACGCAGCGCCGCTCTGTTGCGCGGGCTGCCAGGTGCTGTGGGAGGAGATGTAAGAGCAATTAAACAAACGACCAGCTGCTCTAAATAACGTCAACCTTTAAAATTGATGTCCTAGTCAAAAAAAATAACACCCTATATACACCCTATATACGCCATGTGCACAAACAAAGAAAAAGACGATCATTTTCCACCATTTGCAATTCTTACAGTCTTACAGCTTTCCAATACTTTGCCTGTCACAACTTGCTGAACTTTCATACCCCTTTGCAAATGTCGATGCCTTTCGCAACATTTGCAACTGTCCACCTCGTCTGGCACCACATTTTGCCGCCTACAATGTTTGCACGCTTCCACGGCCTTCTACAACTTGAACACCATCTATTGCATCACACGCAACTATGTCCACCTTTACAACCCTTGGCTCTCAGAGATTGCAACTCTGGGTGCGCAAAGCTGTGTATATAGCATATATAGCCTTGCCGGAAAACACGAAACCGAGTCGCTGTGTCCACGACCCGGGGATGAAATCCGGACCAGTCTGACCTCCCAGGACCTTGGGCTTTGGGCCAAGGGTGTTTTTTCGGCCGTTCGGTTCGCCCGCCCTCCGCCCTCCGAAGCCGCGCTCCCGGCCACGCAGCGCGCCACGGCGCCCGCGTCGGCGCGGCACACGTCGCCGGCCCAGGGCAGCACGCGGCCGGCGAGCTCGGCGGCGATGGAGGGATGCGTCCAGAGTTGGCGGCACAGATACCTGGCGGTCCGGACGCGGCTGTTGAAGGACCCGCCTGTCTTGAACACCGTGGGATCACCGGAAGGTTGGGTGGGAAGAATGAGCACGGAGGACAACGCGTGCTTTTTGTCTCAGGTGAACTCTTCCAGGATCCGAACGGCACCACTGTGGGGACGAGCGGGTGATCGGTCCCTACTGTTCCATTGAAGCTGACCGTTCACCATAGGTGCGCCTTTGACTAAGGTCCTACCATAGGGTGGGGGGCATTGACTCTGGTCCTGCCTACCTACCTATAGCCTGTCTGGACTCAACAAGAATGGATGTGCTCAACCGCAAAGCAAACAGTTGTTGATGGTGTTGGACATTCTTCAGGGGATCACCGATCATGGTCACAAGCTTTCAATCAACTGTTCAATCAATCCACCAAGAAATTACCATACTTCACCTTCTGAATATGCTCGTGTGCATTTCAACTGTGAATCTCTTTCTTTTGGTCGACATGCGCCGAAAGTCCGTCCCTATGCGGGGCGGGACTGTCAATCATGGGTGGCTCTTTGCAATCCCTTCAAGTGGTCGGCCATGCTTGAAGTTCCAGGTGTCCCACAGGTTGATCGTCATGAATGGATCTGGCGCCAAAAAGAATAGCGGCGCCATGGTGCACCCGGGAATTTCGGCAGGGGGCAACATAGAAAAACACATGCAAAAACAAAAACTGTAGGTCTGGTCTGGTCTCTGAGATTTCGAGTCAACGAGTCACTGCCACATCGCAATCAAGTGTGTTGCCGACTAACTAAGGAGCACGTACCCCTACTGAGAATGAAGAGAAGGCAGCTTCGTGTCCATCTGCTTTGAACCCGCACAAGGATTGTAAAAATAATAAAACATTGAAACAACCTTGAAACACATCCAATTTCCAATGCATCTCAAGTGCTGCGCATCTTCATCGTCCTCCAGGGCAGGGCAGTTCGATGAAATTCATCACTTCATGCGGCGGACCATGAATTTGCGACACGAACAGCCTTGAAACCCATCCACGTCTTGAGGGATTCCTTTGCTACAGTAGCAGCCCTGTTCTTTTCATCTGTGTTCTCCCTTCAATCGCCATCTTCATCGACATGCGAATCCACCAGGGTGGACTCCTTCTGGTGCAGCCACAGCAACAACAGTTTCCGTCCCTCGGTACGACCTCAATCGAAGCATTCGGATCCATTCGGCACAAACGACATGCGGATCCATCAGGTCACCTTTCCAGGCCAATCACCTCTGATACAAATCTATCTCTCTTCATCTCTCTTCATCTCTCTTCTCCTTATTTCCTCCTTTATCCAGTGAGCAGCGAAACCACCGGGTCACTGCCTCTGGGTCAGCTTGCCGCCCAGCGACCCTCCACATCAGCTGCCACTTGTAAAGCCTCCACAAAGCTGCCCTCAAAGAAGCTCACGGTGGCACCCGAAGTCGCACCCGAGTCGACGCCCTGGCGGCGAAGAAACCCGCCTTGTCTCTGCCTCGTCTCCCCGGTCGATTCGGCAAAGGCCAGTCACCAAACCCAAACAAGACCGATTGGGCATATGTTTACGGTGATACCGTTATACAGTTATACCTACATTTGCCTCTGAAACCAACCACCCCAATCTGTGAAAGGCATGCAGTATGTGAAGCATTCCATACATGGAGTGTCTGGGATAGCAATGGTCGTTCCCTTCTCAATCTTGTTGAATTGTGTCCTGTAGCCACTGTAGCCATAGCCGTGGGTGGTGTCAACTCCATCGAACATACTGCTGGCCATCCATCAATTCTGTCCGTGTCTACTCCAACCAACTGCCCCGCCAGTTCGTCGTCCAGGATCCAACCCTAAGAAGCCAACATGCCAATTGCCAACCATATCTGTGAGTCGGCTCACCCATCTTGGATGGTTTCGTTTGGCAGGTGGATCCTGGACATCCAAAAGCCTCTGACTCGGGCCCTTCCAACCTTCTTGTATTCATCTTTTTGTTCAGGATTTTGAGATCAAGAAGTCACTCACCAACTCAAGTCAAAACAAAAGGTATAAGAACCGACCACTCCTTGTTCGTAACCCGTACGCTTGCACCACCCTTATTGTCTGTATTCTATTTTATTCCTGTTGATGTTAAGCAGCTAGTCTGAGAACAGGGGCTAAAACATAGACACGAGCAGGGGGGGATCTTGCAACCCTGGTCACGCAACTGGTAACAAAGACCTCACATCGCCAACTTTACCCCCTACCTATGAAGGGCGGGAAAAGAATACTCAGGGCAGGGAATGAGAGCAGCTCACCTTGGGCGCTGTACCTAGTTGGGCGTGGCACCCAGCCCACCCTGAGCACTTAAATGTTACCCGTATTGCATAATGTTTAAACAAGCAAGCAGCACCACCAGCAGCAAGTTCAAGACCCCAATGTATATAACTAGAACAGAACTTTGTTAGGTGCACAATGAAGTCAATCGCAACCTCATGGGTTGGTTCATGACTGTTCGTAAACTCATGGCTCCAAGTTATATATTGGGTTCCTCTCAACTGCTACCTACACTCTGACTCACCAACATGGAAACCGCATTGAGAAACGTTCTTTCCCAAGGGGTCCGTTTCTGACCGACCGTGAGATCACTAATAATCAGTATATCAGTATCTTCCACCACCGACATGAGACACCCATCGGGCCGGGTTTCTAACCAGAATGGAGCTTTTAGAGCGGGAGTCATCAAGGGTCGACCGGGCGAACAGCTTTGGTATGATTCTTTTGTAGGAAACACCGCTGTGACAGGTCAGTGAACCTCATTTGACTGGACTAGATGCAATAACATGAGGACCAGGTTTTAGTGGGTCTTGATATTAGATGTGTTGGGTTACGATGATCGCAATTCTGCTTGAGCATATTCTGCACCAATAATCTCCAGTAGACTGTGGATGACTGTGGCGTGGCAGCCTTGGTGGCTATCAGATCCTTCCTCAAGTTCGTCTTTCTTCTCCGTCCTCCAAGTGTGCGGAGATGAACTCATTGAAGTCCTCGGAGGCGATTCCTGTGAAGTTCTGCACCAGGGACTTTGCGCATTGGAAGAGCGCAAATGGCATGGCGCTTTCTGCGGCGGCTTTGTCCAGACTTTGCACCAGGGACGAATCTGGCCTGTCCGAACAAATCTGCTAAGGGTTTGCTGAACTGGAGGGTTTTGCAGTATATAAATTTCAGTACATCCCTTCTGAACCAAAGGAGCTAAGGGTCTAAATCAAAAAATTTACCACGCAAAGGAAGGTATAACGATGGAGTCAAACTTGTTGTGCGTCTTTGCTGCCTCTTGCGATCTCTGGGTGTGGGTGGGTGAAAGTGATCGCCAGACCGTTCCCAAAAACACCCAGCTGCGTGTCTTTTTTCTTCTTTCTGGGGCGTGGCGTGCCGTACCTGGTATACCTCTGGGGTCGCTGGACGTCCTTCACCGTGGGACGAGATCTCGGAAAAACCCCCGAGCTCTGGACATGCACTCTCCAAACACCCTAAAAGTGAAGATATGGCTCACTTTACTCCACTACTCCATTTGACTCCGGTTAGCCCTGGGATGTCTTGGGCCAATTGAACTTCCACACCTGGACTTCTGTCTTGAGCCACTTGGCTTCATTGACCGGCTGGCCAATTAGTTCAACTCTACATTGGATGCATGCTTCCAAAATCATGGTGAACCTGTGAACGAACACATGCCAAAGAAGCAAGCACGAGCCAAAATTAAACACAAACATTAAAATAGAAACCTGTTTGAGGCAATGCGCACCACTTCTTCGTTGCCTGTGCCCTCTTTCGCTGATTTCATCGAGACATGACCGACTCTCGGTGGCCCGGACTTGGTGTCGATGGGAGGGCTGCAACCTGCGACGATCGCACGAGGTCACGAGGACGATCGGCACATGAGGACGGTGGAGGATATCAGCGATGGTGGGGACGTGCCAGCTTTGCTGCTCTGACTGGGAATGGCGAGCTGCTTTGGAGACCACCATAAACCACCTGTCCAATTCGAAGCGCCCTTTCAAAAAGAAGATGCACGGGAGCAGAACATGGAACCCAACATCGTTTGGTTCACAACCGACCACTTAGACCGTTTGGGAGGCCACTTGGACGAACATCGATTGGTTGAACTTCCAGCGGTTACTTCTGCGTGGAGTGTTAACTTCCATCGCCGTGCAACGAGACTTCTCGTCATTTCAGGCGATATGAAGTGATTCAAATATCTATAGAGACCGGTCCCTTGCCCACAAGCACCAGCGAACAAAGCCAAAGGATCCAAGCCCGATTCCTCCGTCCGTCCCGACATTTAGTTGTTTCAGCAGCTTCCAAGACTGCTTGGCCATCATCTGTTTTCATTCCTAGAGTGTTAGGACCCTGTCTTGTGAGACACACTCCGCACTTTTCCGTCAAGCCCTAGTCGGGTCCGAAGCTTGTATGTCGTACAGGCTATTTGCGTTGGGTAGGTAAGGATCGCTTCCTTACCGGTTGGCTCCTTGCCAGGTCACCCCTGGCTGGGTTTCATCTGGTCACTCCAGATATCACCCAAAGCACTTTAAAATCCCCAACGCACTTACAAGTATTCGGCCACGCGAGTGAGGCTAGCAACTGGCAGTTGCCACAGGATAAATGGGAAAAATGCCTCGGATTGAGTAAATCCCTGCTTCACGTGCCATGGGTCTTGAAAGCCCAATCGGCTGATAGCGTCAGCCCAATTGCTCTTTGAGGGGATCCACTCGAAGAACATCCAGCGCTGCAGACCGAAGAGCAAGATATGCACAATTTGTGACATGCGCTCCAAGTCTGCCGCATCCGATCGTCCCCGGATCAGTGCCATGAGAGCGGCACTGTTATCCAGGAACCAGACCCCTCGCCTGCCTCGGAAACGGTCTGGCCTGGTCGTCAGTGCAAAAATAAGTTGAACAAGTTCGAGCTGAGCGATCTTCTTCTCACCGGGAGTGAACAAGCTATACAACGACCTGGGCATATGGGAAAAAAAAGCTTCACGCAATTCTACAGCGCCGTCGAACCATATGATGAGGAAGCCGCCTGTACCTGCAAAGGGTGCTTCAAGGGCTGCATCCGATGCCACAATGAACCTTGGTATCACGGGGTTGGTCACTTCCATCACTCTAGCTGGTCGGAGTTGGAGAACAGCTTGGATCAACTGCAAGCTCTCCTTCAATGCTGGCGTCAGGCAACGGTCTGTCTCGTACTGCCTTGCCTTAATGGCTTGTAGGCCGCTGCACCCTACTCTCCAGTAGAGGCCTTGTTCCAAAAAGGCCACCATGCCGTAAATTTTAGACGCTGTGCCAGAGGTCAGCGTTGAGCTGCTGAGTGCATCGCTCAGAAACGCCTCCATTTTGGCGATCAATCTGTCTCTAGGCCAAAAGCGGACAAAGCCATCGCTGACTGTACGTAAATCGTAATGCAAACCAAGGAAAATGCCGCTGGCTGTCATGGCTTGGCGTTTCTCTTCGGCGAAGGGAGTGCCGATGAGGACATTCAGTTGGTTGAACGCTGCTTGGCCAAAGCCTTTCGAAGATTTCCAATCAACAATATTCGCGTCATCGAAGTAGAGAGATGTGAGGCAGAGGCACAACCTGCGGCCTAGAGCTTCTGCCAGCCGACTGTACCTGTTGAAGCTGGTGACCGCCAGCGGCAAACCAAACAACAGAGAATGGTATAACTGGAAAGCCGGTTGCTGCCATTGCTCATGCCAGAACGCTACCACACAACCAAGAGACTCTTCATGTGAGATGGGTGTTCCTCGATACGCATTAGGCCAGTCCTCGCCGCCGCTCTCGAAGGAGTCCCACTCCAGGCGAGAGTGCCATTGAGCGGAGGAAGCGCACGCAGCCACGGCGGCAATGTGCTGAGCCGGCCTGAACGGGGAGCATAAGGTCAACTTGTTGTAATCAGAGGAACGCTCGGATTGGCCCCCTGTGTCCCCGTTGTCGATGATCCGCTTCTTGCCGCTGGACTGGACAATGATGCATCTTGGAATGAGCCGGTGAGGGGCGCCCTTGATGTGCCGGAGGAGCTGCGCGTGCGTCATTGGCTCCGTGCAGAAACCATGCACGGCGTCAGCTTCACTCTGTTCAAGCAACACACTATCGTGCGGCCCTGGCTTCAACTGTCGGATAATGCCTGAGTTGTGGTCCTGCCAGCCCTCCAGGACTTCTGTCAGGGTAATCTCTCTTCCTTCCTGGACCGGAAAGATGCCATAGGGCGGGGCTGTGCCCACCGCTGGCATGCCCTTGATCAACCCGTAGGGGTAAGTGGTGTCAGCCCAAGACAGCAGCATGATCAAGAGGGCGGTCAAGCCCAGGTCGCGGCTCGCCGTCACTCGGCGGATGGCTGGGGTCTGAAGTCGCCGTAGCTGGGCTGTAACTGGGCTCCACCGTTGCTTCAACTCCTTGATGGCCCCAATGGCTCGTCGGCGCAAGGCATAGAGCTCAGCTGGTGGCTTCCAATGGTGCTCGGCACAAAACCAGAGGTCGTCGTCGAGCAACGGAAGTCTCTCCGTGGGCAATGGTTGCCAGCGACTGCGTGAAGTGGTCGTCGACGGACAAGCCAAAGCTAAGAAGTGGTGGTAGGGCCGCTTTGTGACTCAGCGCACCTGCCTGTTGGCCTTCAGCATGGCGCTGCATGAGCCGGGAATGCTGGGTCCCTCCCAGCGGTCCCAGAGGTCCATCCCAATCCAACCCTCGTTGGGCTCTCCAGGTTGGATAGCTGATGAATGGGAAGTCATTGACAAGGTCCTCAACCAGCGGGAAGCGAAAACCCGCGAACCACTCGTAGGGGAAGAGGCGCTTGAACGCCAGGATCACACTCTCCTGCGGGAAGAGCTGCGTAGGCGCCATTGCATTGACCCCTGAGATGGAGACCGCTCTGAGAATCCTCGAGGATTGGTGGCTAGCTGGTTTGGCTTGACTGCCTGCCTTGTGGTGATGCGCCGGGGCATGCGGTGACAGATAGTCGAACACGAGGCCGGCCAGCGCTGTCGCCGGGCACAATGGTCCGCTGCCGGTGTCACTCACCAGCACCTTGTGCTGCAGCTCGGAGAGATTGTCCCATAGTGTTTCGCGAATGTGGGTAACGTAGAAAGCCAACCAGTCGACACCTGGGGTGCATGGAGGTGCCCATTTGGTAGTGGGTAGCCGATGTCGGTGGTGGCCCTGGTCGACGTAGACGTGGTTAGCTGGAAGGCTGCCCTCATGGATCACCGCGTCAACTGAAACGACTCGACACACTCGGGACCGTTCCTTGGCATCTGGCGGTAGAAGGCCGAGGCTAATTGCCATAGGTGTCATCGCCCACTCACGGAGGGACCTGTGGTCGAGATAGAGCCAGTGCGCTCGATGGCCTGTTGTCTCCACTGGTGGAAGCCTACCTAACTTCAATTTGGTGTGGCCTGTCCGAACTGCCCAATACGAGACGGAGACTGCAATAGAGAAAGCCAGCGGCCCTGTATACTCGGCCTCCTCCTTGCTAGGGTACCATCCACTTCAAATGGGGCCCATTCCTCAGGGGCATGGACATGGTTGCAACGCAGGGTTGGCCACCGACTGATCTCCTCGATATTGTGGCGGAGCCGCTGGTGCTTAGCTCGTGCGCCGGCGAAGCAACAGGCTGAATAGGTGGTGTCCTGGCAAAGCCCCGTCCGCATCATCTCACGCTCCTTGGGTAACTCCCAATGAAGCGAGTTGCCGGGGTTCTCACGGATGGAACCACCCCCGCGCTGGGCTAGGGCCTGGATCTCGTCCAGCACCCAATGGCAAGCGGCGTTGTCTGTCGCCACCTCCTTGTTGCGTCCCGAGAGGTTGGGGAGGCCTTCTGGGTGCTGCTTGGACCTCAAGGGTGGTGGGCCTGGCCGTCCGTCGGAGAAGGTGATAGGGATCTCACGCGCCCTTGACTTGGTGCTGCAATCCAAGGCTGCAAACAAGAACGCCGCGTCTTGCAGCTGCTCGTGGAGAGAGGCTTGCCGGAGTGGATGTGACAAGTCACCCTTAGCTTCCGAGAAGCTACCTTTTTTTTCATTGCTCCAAAAAGTTGTCTGCCAGCCTGTTTTTTTGGCTTCCAGGTTTTTTATGTTAGAAGCCTCTGGAAGCCAAAAAAAAAGGCTTCTAGAA